TTTTTTTTTTTTTTTTGGTGCATTAAGATCAGCATTGAGCACAGACCTTGCTTTGTAGTGACTTGAGGCATTGTAGAAACATGGAAATTTAAAAAATCTATTTCCACTGTGTTCCTTCACAGTGAGTGTTCTCTAAGATAATTAATATCATGGTTTTTATAACTGGGCATATAAGAGTGAAAAAGAAAAAGGATGTTATTTTTTTCAAAGAAATTCCACTTAAAGTTTCTCTTAATTTTAAAAGTATCAACCTTATTGAACTCTAGATAAGCAACGGTAGTAAGGTTTTATTCATTTATTCTAATCGTAGAGCTTAAGAAATAAAATCTGGATGTATAATAATATAATCAAGAGAATACTTACACTCTCACTCTGAAAAGGATTTAAGAAATTCCCCCCCATTTCGCCATCATCCCTTGGAGTACCCGGTTGATTACTCAGACTCATATTATTGGGAGAATTCTGTAAACAAGATTTGGAAAACAAGGCATTGTTGAAGATTTTCATTTCCCTCTTGCATTGTACTGTTTCAAAATGAAATCTCTATCGACATCTCTAAGGGAAAAACAGACTTATAATTTTAATCTTAGACTTCTATCATATATTCTAGTTCATTACTCACACCTTGACAAGTACTAATGTTTTCCCAAATGAAAAAAACAAAACAAAAACAAAATAACCTACCACATTTTTTCCTTAGTCTAGAATCAATATTTATTCAATTTCCCATCCTCAACTTATAGAGTTCCTAAAACTCTGGAGAATTTAAACCACATTCCCAGCAGGGGCATGATGAAGAGTGCCTGCCTGCTGATAAGCATGCTGGGACAATCACTTCCCTTGGTAATTTTACTAATCAGACTTCAAAAGGTCACTGTTTAAATAAACATTCCCCTTTAATTCTACAAGCATTTTACAGAATGATACTATATCCCCTTTTTAAAAATGTGAATCATAAAGATAATAGGAAGAGAGCTAACTACTGCAGTTAAGAACAAGAAAGACAACTTAGGACTTGAGAATACAAGTACTTTTAGAGGAAAAGAAGGCTCAAAAGTAAACTGCTTTAGAACCTTTTTCTATCATTAAGAGTAGATGTACTTTAAAATTTTTTTTAAGAGAAAATGGCTAATAATATTCTTCTCATCTAGTGCTAAGATAACAGTATATTGCTTCATGTTCTATTTAAATTTGCTAAGTTTTATTATTGGAGTCCTGCTGTGGTGCTGTGATAAGCACTGGACAGCTAACCACAAGGTCAACAGTTCAAACCCACCAACAGCTCCTTGGAAACCCTGTACAGGATCTCCATGAGTTGGAACAGACTTGATGACACTTAACCACAACAGTCCTACTGAGGGGCGCAGGTGATGCTGTAGGATAAACACTGGACTGCTAACCACAAGGTCAACAGTTCAAAGCCACCAACTGCTCCAGGGGAGAAAGATGATACTTTTTGCTCTGGTAAAGACTTACAACCTCGGAAAACCTAGAGGGTCCTATGAGTTGGAGCCAACTTAGCGGTACCTAACAATGACAAGTCTTGCTGGTACTGTACATTTTTTTGTCATCTGAAGACATCTGGTAATGCCACATCAATAGAAAATAACAATATCATTGGCATAAAAAGTATGTTTATACATATTACAGCTGTGACTGAGGGAAGCCCAATTTATAGATTTAGAAGAAAACTTCAAGGAGCTTGGGTGATGAAGCATTTGGGTGGCTAACTGACAGGTCAGCAGCTTGAACTCCCAGCCACTCTGCAGGAGAAAGATGTGCAGTCTGCTTCAGTAAAGAGTCACAGAGTTGGAACCCTATGGGGCAGTTCTATTCCGTCCTCTAGGAAAATGATGAGTCACATGGCAATGGGTATAGAAAAAATTTCTATCATCTCAAATGGAAGAACGCTTTACGTTTTTTTGCCCCTAAGCCATTGCCACTTTATACAGGCATTCTTGCTTTTCAAAAGTTTGCTTTGTCATTTCCCTTTTACAAAAATTCTACATTAGTAGCTGTTTTCACTAAACAGAAAAAGGATTTTGCTTGTTACGAAAAGAAGGGAAAAAAAATTAAAATAAATAGCTTTCAGTGTTTGTTCTCAGTGACCCTTTAAAGAGGCAGTGCACACTCAGAGCAGGGCATGAGGTATCCTCACGTTCCTTCCCCAGAACTACACTCAGGATCTCAGCACCAAGATGCCACAGCCTTGAACTACGTCTGTGAATTCTACTAGGGGGCTCCAAAAGTCTGTGAAAAAGATCCATACACTTTTGGAAGCCTCCTCAAATGTTAATGTTATTTTTAGGTTTTATGTGTTATTTGGTGTGATTCAGTAGGTTATACTTTGAGTCTGGGAATGCTCAGAACAATTCCCATATAATTGTTCTTTGCTTTATGCCATTTTGGCTTAGGAAAGGTTTCACAGGTACATTTTACGGTTGGATAGCAGGGGAAACCAATATTCTGTTTTTGAATAAATGTTTAGATGTTTTAAGAAAATTGCTCAGAGGATTCTGACTTAACTAAAAACAAGTTATGTCACAGCATTAAAATTTTAAGAATGAGTTATTCTCAAAAGAACCTGTGCTTTCCCATAATAAGGTTAAATGGTAGAGCTGAGACAGGCCGATGAGCCAGTGGTGATACAGCTTGTTTCATGTCATGCTGTGCACCCCACATGGAAGATCTGAGAAATAGGATCCTCTGAAGTCCATAGGAGCTCTATACACAACTGAACCTTGAGGGCTGAGGAACCACGGTTGATAATATAAAGAGGATTCTGGGTTGTTGTTGTATTTTAGATTATTTTCTTCTCTGAAAATGACAGTCACCCAAGTACATAGGAAACAAATGGTATATTATGAAATGAACATGGATAACATGAATTCCTAAAAAATGTAAGTAAGGTTCAACCATGCACATTATTCTATAGTAAAGCATAAAACTGCAGTGGTGTGGGACAGTAGGATAAGCTCTGGATCTCAAGGGCAGTTTGAATTGCAAGGCTGTGGTCCAAACTCCCCAGCTGCTCCTTGGAATTGTCTGGCTGCACTTAACAACACCGACAACGAAACCATCAACAGTGCTTTGAAAGCAGGAATGACATTGCTGAGATAGCTCAAAAAGGAAACTAAATTTGATATTGCAAGATTTGCCTAAAAACTAATAATAGTCCTTTTGGTGATGGCGGATTTTTGTCATTTCATACACAACGGAGAAATTACTAATAGCAGAATAAAGAATAATCTAATATATATATGAGAAAATGGAAGGATGCATCTGGAAGTTGCCTTCTTTCACTAATTTAAACAAATGTATGAGCTCAGTCCTTTCAACATCCCCAGGAGTCCTGGAGGTGCCCTGAGGGAGACCATCTTACTCGCAGATGGTCTCAATCTCTGCTGCAGTACCATCAGGAGCCACTGCCTGACTTATACTTTTGAAAGCCTGTTGTTGTTTGTTAAGTGTTTTCAAGTCAGTTCCGACCCATAGCGACCCTGTACAGGGTTTCCAAGGAGCAGCTGGTGAGTTTGAACGCTGACCTTGAAGTTCAAAACGAATTTACAGTCCGGTAGTAATTCTACAGCGCCTTTAGCTGACTTCAAATCTAATTCTTGGCTCAAAGGGTTGACTTTGAAATAAGATATTTAGAATTAAAATTACATTGTAGTATTAATATTTTAAATATAAAATATTGTCAATGTGATGAAAATTTCTGTTTTCTACGTAAGGTCTTCATAGCATGACAGCATTAAATACCCTCTCTTCTCTTTTAGGATATAAAACACCTAAGGGACAACTAAAAAGAACACATACCACATCATGAAACTGAGCTAGTATCAGATGTCTGCAAGTTAACCCTATCGGCTCACTGTACCATACCAGAAGTGATAGGGCAAAATGGTTCTTACCTGAAGTCATCTCTATGAAATATAGTGAAAACAGTGAAAGCTCCTCAGTGGGGAGTCTTAGAGAAATTGCACTGCCCGTGATCATTGAGTGACTTAATGAGAATATTTGGCTAACAAACACACTTAACACTCGCAATTAAGAAACAGCTATGAAGGTGGTACCAGCTCAGAGCAGGTTTGTTGTTGTTAATAAGTGCCGTCAAATCTGTTCTGAGTCAGAGCAACCCTTTATAGGGGTTTCCAAGGAGCAGCTGGTGAGTTTGAACCACTGACCTTGTGGTTAAAACCGAGCTTGCGGTCTAGTGCTTTAAGCCCACAGAGCCACCAGTAAAATAAAATGTGTACATGTTACATTCATCAGTAGCTATATCTGTGTGCAGTATTTCTAGTAGACTTTATCATGAAGGTAACAATGTAATGCACAGAAAGGGGTTAGGTTGGTCATGAAGGCACTCCAGTTTTAAGCACATAATCAGGGAGCAGGGTATATAAAAGAATACCAGTAAATACTACTTTTTGCTACATTAGTATGTGTGTGTATATATATATATATATATATATATATATATATATATATACACACATACATATACATACAGAGTTCTGGTATGGCACAGTGGACTGGACTGCAAGGTTGGTTTGAATTGCAAGGCCGATAGTTCAAACTCGCCAGACACTCCTTGGAAACACTATACAGGGTCATATGAGTTGAAACCAACTCAACTCAACGGCTCTGAACAACAACAAGGTGTATGCATATATTGCACATATCACATATATGTACATACTGCATATATACATGTACACACACAATTTTCCTCTTGTTAACACATTTAATTCTCTTAGACTCTGCTAAAGTTTATTTTGGTCTCTGATTTCATCTTGCAAATATTCTTCCATATTTATTGTTAATTTTAGTAATTTATTGTCTCTTCTTCTACTCAGTCTCAAAAATTATTCCAAATCTTTACTATTGCTGAAAAGGTGAATATGTGAAGAAACCTTGGCTCTGTCTACAATCAGAATAAAATGACATTACCCTAAGCTTTTTGGAAGTGAATTTTGCATTGATTTCTCACAGGCAACAAATAAAAAGCTTTATGGAGTGTTGTTTTGACTCTGCGTCTCCTCAAAAAAAAAAAAAAAAGAATAAAATACCACTCATGGTTCTCCCCAGGGGTACAATCGAGGTTGAATGCAGACCAGTACTCTGAGGTCTATGGCTGCTGATTCGGTTCTCTTTGAATTGGTAAGGTCTCTAACTGGGACTAAGGAAAGTTCTCGAGGTCATAAACCTTCTGGTGGAAGAGAGTAGTTTCTGGAAGCACAGAAGGCTTGGGTTTATCATGTAAATGTTATTCCTTATTGTATCTTTTTTGTTTTCTCAGTTATGCTAAGCTTTTTGAGGATAGAGATCTGCCTTGTTTATCTTTGGCATCTCAGGGCCCAACATAGTGCCTTGGCACATTAATGTTTACTGACTGAAGGAACTCATGCCAAAGTATAAACCACTTGCACACAGAGATTATGTATTTAAAAAATATTTTATGTAAAATCTCCCATTAGTACACAGGCAATACTCAGCACATAAAAGTACACAATGGGTGGTCAATTAATGCTTAAAGAGTAACTAATATATCATCAGACAGGGGGATATTATCAGCAGTAGGCAAAGTGTATCCAAGAATAGGAATGCGAAAATAAGGACTACAGAAATAGCAATAGAGTTGATATAATGGCATAGTAGAAGATGATATTTAATTCATCATTATAACTCCAGTGTACATTTCTAAAGTGCTTCATAAATTACAAAGTACTTTCACATGCAGAATTATGTTTACATCTAATGTATAAGGTTATGCTTCATTAGTAAACATTTTTATGAAGATGGCTAGAAACAATGTGGATTTGTGTAATTGACAATCTGCTCTAGATACTGGAACACACATTTCAAATGTGGCATTAGAAATGTTACTACTGGTGACCACAAAGTACAATGTAGCTGGTATCAATTGTTAGAATTACCTGATTGGAGGGATATAATCACAGTCTTCTGATTTGCAAAGGCACTTCCCCAAGAGAAAGCTTTAATGGTGATATATAGGGAAGCTTATTTTGAAAACAGGCTTTTGGGGGTTTTCCATTATAAATATCTATTCTTAGACAACAGAAAGTCCTTCCTGATAGTCCTGTTCTAAACACAGGCATCCACAGTACCAGCAGAACTTGTTAGGCCGTGCAGCAGCCAGACAGTACAGAGCTAGTATAAGAATGCCAATTCAACATCGGTTGGTTTCGTTGAGCTTCAAGTCTAAATTTAAAATGTTCTGTTATCTCATTCAGTGTTATTTTGCTTGGCATAAAACCACTGGTGGCACTGCAGGGTAATCATTAAAGCGCTAATTACAAGGTGGGCACTCAGTTCAAACCCTCTAATGGCTCCAAGGAAAAAAGATGAAGCTGCTCCCGTAGAGATTTACAGTCTTGCAAACCTTATGTAGGGTTTCTATAAATTGAAATCGACTCACTAACAGTGGGTTTGCATTTTTTTTGGGGGGGGAGTTATTCATGAATATGATTAGAAATAAAATTGAAAATGAAGCAATCCTTGAATTTTGTATTTCTCAACAACAGACAAATAAAGACCTTGTGTGGCACAGTAGGATAAGTTCTCCTTGCAGTCAGTTTGAACTGCAAGGTCGACGGTTCAAACTCAAATAGGATCGCTATTGGTCAGAACCAACTCGACAGTACTTAACAACAACAAGCGCTACTGAGTCCTTATCAGTCATTCTAAATATATATTTTGACACACATAGAATTATTTTAAATATATCATGATCTAAACAGTATTCGGGAGCATGGTGGCTCCATATGATAAGCACTGGACTGCAAACCACAAGGTCCATGGCTCGAGTCCACCAGTTGCTTTGAGGGAGAAAGATGGATGAGGCTTTGTGTTCCAACGAAGATTTAAAGCCTGGGACACCCTACACAGGGTTGCTATGACTCAAAACCAATTCGTTGGCATTAACAACAATAACAAACAGTATTCAGGTTATTACTCTTCAAAAAATAAAAAGCATTTAATTAAAGAATTACTTTTAGGTGCTACAACTACTTAAAGAGGAAAACCAGACACATACTATTGGGAAGGCTCACTCTCCTACTTGTTTTGATATAATTTTTCTCTAATTAAAACTTCACTCCATTTTGGGATATTAGAATTATGCTTGAGGGTATCAACATTGCCGAATGAAGGCTGGGAAGACTAATGAGATGTATAAATGCAACGCCTCATGACATAATAATAATAATTTTTTTTTTCAAATTTACCTCTTCTCTTGATGCTTTGTTGTTGTTGTTAGGTGCCATCGAATCGGTACCAACCCATAGCGACCTTATGCACAGCAGAACGAAACACTGCCCGATCCTGGGCCAACTTCACTACTGTTGCCACGCTTGAGTCCATCAATGCTGCTGGCTTTAAATTAAAAAAAAAACCATCTAACAGAGCAGCTGTGAGCTCTAGGTCCATGGATTGAGTAAGGCTGTGTGCCTGTGGGCAGGAGGCTGGCTTGCAGATTGTGTTCTTTGGACATTTAAATAAATAAATAAATAAA